AACCGCATATGCAACAATTTTGCTCAACGCGCCGTTACGCGTACGTCGAAAGGACAATTACATTTTAACACCTTAAATTCCACGTTGCAAGATAAACTTTATAAAACGCGGAATATGCGGAGGGAGAACAAGAACGCGCTGTGATGCGAACAAATTGGATACGCGATATGCGAGTGGAGCGTGACGACTGTATAAATTTCGCGGTGACGCCGTACGACGAAACTCATATCGTTACATTATTATCTGTCGCGTTACATTATGGTGTAGTGCTGAAACGCGAAGCGAACAAGCACCGAAAGAAACTCTACGCCTCCCTATCTCTCTCTCTCCAGTATAAGTTATTTCGGGAGATAGTTTGCGTACGTATACTCTGGCTTCCGCATGACGTATGTACATTCGTCGACACTCGAATGCAGTCCGACGAATTTATAAATGCGAATTACCGTTTCTTCGGTGCGGTGTTCAACCTTGAAGATAAATTTGTACGTTTCAACACAGAGCAAATCTATGTGTGTAATGTGAAACGAATCGTTATGTGAAACGAATAGTGTTTTCATCGCTATTATCATGTATAACGAAGGCGATTGATTGCCAGTCAATCATTGCCTTCGAGACTTCGTCCGTAGATTTCAATATTTAAAAAACACGCGTTTGATTGACGAGCAAATTAAATATTATTTTAAATGTACTGAATAATAAACAAATTTTCAAGTTGCAAATTAAAAATTCTATTAAATTTATTTGCTTCATGCATATATATAAATACATACCCGTACAATATTTAAAATGTAAAAACTTTTTTTGTGAATTTGTATTAATTTGTCTTAAATTCTTCAAGTTTTGGATATTGAATGTTATTTATCTTATAATTATGAAGTCGTAATTAAAATTGATTTTGCAGAGATTTTGGATCGCACTTGAGATAATCTTGTGCATTTTCGTTTTTTTTTTTTTTTTTTTTTAATCTATTTGGATGTACCTCATTATTCTCTTAGCTAGCGCCATTGCTCCACTGTGAGGTCACTGATCCGAAGATAAGACGAACAGAATTGCAAAGCGAATTCTCTCGTGGCGATCGCTAACAATAAGTGGTTTAGCAGAGATTTAACTCGATCTTCGACCTCGCCTCGTTTAAACCACGTTCGTTTCGAATGATAGCCATTTCAAAGATTAACATTAGTCTGATCAAAGTTTATGGGATCAATACTGGTACTGGCAACTCCCAATGCATCTTCATAAAACCGACAAATGTCTCCTCGTAGTCTCCCTATCGAATTCGTACAGCGCACAAGGCTGCTTCCCTCGATAACGATCCATCTCCTTCCAAAAGTTACTTTACTATTTTATCTTATTGTCCTACACAACGTTCACGATGTAACGATCGCGATAAAAGTAGCGTATTAGGATCTCAAAAAAGATTATAGGCAAAGATCTTTATGTTTTTACGCAGACTGCATAAAATTAAATTAAATTGAATTAAAAAGTAAAATTTGATTTTATGTATATTAATATATTATAATTATCAAGCTAAAGCATATGTAATAAAAATACTGAAAAAGTGAAAAATATAAAAATAATTAAAAGAAAATTTTCAAAAGGGAACTTTTTATTCGGATTTGTTATAATATAATACAGAGTAACAATACGCGCGCGAAACAGATTTGATTTCATATAATAATATCATATTAAAATTTGATTAAATATATTTCCGTCGTATTTTAGTATAAAATTTTTATCATAAAATTTTTATAAGGCATAAAAATCGTTGCATACATGTGTTTGGCAACATCATAAATAATTTTCGGCACAGATGGATACCACGACTTATGGGTTGCTCAGGCATATTTCTCCTGTCGCGCATTACCGTTGTATATGCGATGTTATTGAGCATCTGCCATACGTAATAAATATCTGCACACTCCAAGTTAAGTCACATCATATATTGTACATATACAAAAAAACTTATCAGAACTATTTTCTGCTAAAGGGAGCAATGTTAATTTGTTATATTCTGTTTAAACACTAGTAGTGTTGGCTGATAAACTTATCTGTTAAATAAAAAAGGATCGAGGTTTTTAACTTTTCCAAAATATATTATAATTATACATAAAATCATTCATTTTAAAAATTAATATCCAAGAATCTTAGATATATTATATTCGAGATAACTATCTATTATAGATAGTAAAAATCGCATATTTCCTTTAAAAAAGAATCACGCATGCCAACAGCTAATTTAAGAATATACTTCACTATCAAGACTATAATTTTGGAAATATGAGTAATAAAAAATTCAATCGTTTTAGCAACTTGAGCTTTAAAAGTAAAAATGGATAAAATAATTCTCTAATCACTAATAATAAATATAATTAAACTGCCATTGGACTTTGTTTTAATAGCAATTTCTATATTTATTGTCAAGAGATAATGTAAAACCAATATATCTTTAATTTAATTTTTAAATGTTCCAAAAAGAATTACGTTCAAACTTTTGCTAAGCTATATAATATAGTTTAACCGCCTATTTCTGCGAGCAATCTGTAGAAAACGATTCCTGAGATGGCCTACATTGCTCGTGTATCGCGTAAAGTAAATTCTCTTTAGGATATCGGCCTTCAGCTTCTACCATCTCCATGAATTATGCTCGCCTCCGTGACGCACATAAATTATAGACCACGTGCTTGATAGAAGCCGAGGCTTCGAGTATTATATCGATTCGATCGCGATTGTTTCAATTACATTTTCCCACAGTTGCACCAAACTATTAATACAAGGGGATGAAATGGGTGAAGACAGACCATTATCAATTTCCTGAGATGTACTCCCGCTGAATATCATGTCGCGAGGCATTAAATGGGCACCTGTCGCCGCACATTTGGATGCGACGCGTCGTTGTGTACATTAAGAAAGGATGCATGCGCTTTGCATGCAATAGCTAAGATTCGTGACAAACTGAATTGCATGCTGATGAAGGTTATAAAATTAGTAAACAGCACTAACGAACAGCAGTCAGTATTCGTTATAAGTGTGAATAAGAACGGTTTGGATAGCATTTTATTTATTTGCATTGAGTGTTTGTCACCTTGATTTAACTCAGTTGTTATAATTAATGTAATTTAATTTTTCCTTTTTAATATCACAATTTTTAATTTAGGATATATATGAGAATTTAAAAAATGGTCTTTAGAACTGAATTTTGTAGTTTTCTTAGCCTTACATAATTAATGAAATTTTGAAGGAAAACAAAACGCCATTAAACAATCCTTGCAATGCGATGCTTTTCCATGCAATCGATATCCCGCAATAATATCTTACCGCTCATCGATGGTTTTCTCGATAAGCGGAGCTTTATTCCTTCGTTTGTAGTTGATCCACTTTTGTTTTTTAGCCGAAATCTATTCGATAGCGGAGATATTACTGAGATATTTCTGAGATGGTATCGCATTTGCGTCGAAGTGAATTGCGAAAATAAGATGCGCTGCAGGTTTCCTGGGAAACCTCATCAGATCAAATATGATATTTCACATTTTAGCTCTTGAAAATCTCGTCGCTGAATATTATTTGCGAGAACGCTATAAAAATATCTTTTAAATATTATTTTAAAAGTTTTTTAAATTTTTCAAAAAAAGCTACGACTTGTTAAATTTCGATAAGAAAACAAATTCATCTCGCGAATGACGTTTTTGCTTCAAACCAGTAAATAATATTATGCACCCAAAAAAAATCGCGAAAGGGAATCTCTTTTGAGACGATAGTCGGACAATTCCGCGCGATGAATTTATTTGAAAAAGTTGCCGGACGGAAATGATATCAACATGACCAACGGTTTTAGTACGTTAAGCATCGGAGAAGCATCGCTGGTGGCACGTATCGCGACAAAATGGGGAACGGGGAACGGTAGTGTTCGCCTCGCATTCGCCATAGCAGACAGCGAGTGAGAAACAAACGTCCGCGCCAAATGCACTGTCGTCATCCCTATCCACTCTCTAGTTTCCCAACTAAAATGGAGAGGGACTATCCTGACATTCTATTCCTCCTCAAATCTCTCTCGCGGCAACCAACGACTAACAAAAAAATAGGGCAGTTGAATTTTTTTACTGTGTGCAACGTGATCTCGTAAACTTTAAACTCAAAGATAGACTGGGGGAGGAGTAAGAGTTTAATTGTATTTTAACTAACTAAATTAATTTGTTGGGGACGTTCTCGCAAACTGTTTCTCGTCGCGCGCAACAGATACGAGAAATTTTACGATGTTAAAGAATAGATTAAAGATGATGAATTTTTCACATTTATTATAAAGCAAGTTTATTTAAACTGTTGTTTTTTGATAAATTTTAATAGGATTAAATAAATTTAGCATTAATTTCTATTAATTCACTGCGCTGTATTTAAAACCTACAACACTGTTTAAAATATTATACTCCATATGTTAAAATATTTTTATTTAAACAACTAATCAATTAATTAACTACCAAATAAGAATACACATACAGTCTAACCAACGCAGAGTAAACGCATTTATGATACAGCAACGAAAAATCTTCATTCCGCCATCAAACAGCGCAATTTATAATAAATTGACATCCAGCAACAACAAATAACAACATAAAAAAGAAGAAACGACAGCATATCATCCACCATGGAAATAAACGAAAGGAATATATTCGTCGCGCAAAACACAACAGCTATAGACAGCTTCGTCCAGAGTTTACCAATCAGGATAGACGCATATCCGGCTATCGAACACCGAAAAGCGATCGCGCTCCGTCTCCGTCGACGATTCCACTATTTAGCAACGCAAAATACATCACTATAAGAGTTCGCGTTCACTATCAGTTAAGTAACACATATAGGACACAATCACATGCCCGCGTAGAAGAGAGAGATTCAGCGGAGAGCTCCAGAATCCCACAGGATTCCTGCCACTACCACGTTCACGCAACAACAGAAAGAACTACTGCCGCTCGCAATACTGTTGGTCTCTTTTTATGTCAACGTACGCTGGTCGTCCAGGAGAAGCAACGTCGTTGCTGACGTCGGCGACGGCGACGGCGGCGACGACAACGACGACGACGACGACGGAGACAACGTTGCTTGATTTATTGGTGACGAAGGAGAAAAGGATTGAAAAAAGAGGAGTTCTTCTCGTTCGCTCGCCCTCTCTCTTTGTTTCTCGCTCGCTCTCAGTCGAGACCGGGGAGCATCATGACGGGGAAGAAGAATATTGTCCTCGAAGAGGGTGATTTCGTAACGACGCACAACGACGACCGCGGCGCCGGTACCGCGGGTCAGACTGAAATCCGCGCGAGCGGTATTCAGCCTCTTATAGGAAACGCTGGGGCGCAAGCGCTACCGGTGGGGGGTTATACCGGCTGCCCGAGAGGGATGGGCCACGTTTCAAAAAGCGAAGCTTCCGTCGATCCACCCCCGCACAGATCGATCGACTTTTCATCGACGCTCGTCGAAATGCGAGCGACGACGACGGAACGTCGCGTCGTCATTATCATTGTCTCACCTCGTCATTGAGTTAACTGACAACCGAGAGTTAAACAGTACGCAAAGTAAAATCTAGTCAGTTTTTTGTAACGTAATGTAAAGGACAAAAAATAGGAAAAAAATGTAACTAACGTAAATATATAAACTGAAAATAGAAAATGCTACGGCGGATATTACGCTAACGGGGGATGTGCGTCCCGTGTAGAAATTTTTCCTAGGCTGTAACCGGGCCCTGAAAGGGCTTCCTTACTTTATTTGAGGCCCATGTATGGACGCCCACCTTGGCCCCATTTCGGAATGTCACGCTTTTTTATCTAGGGCCCTTATTGCTTTCCGAACTTGGGCCAATGTTGGCTTCATAAGTCGAGCCTATACCCGAGTAGAAATTTCAAAAAAAATTATTTATTTTAAATTTTATTATTATTTTTTAATTGAATTTGTTTCTTAAGATGCAATCTATGACTATAAATATTTTCTCGTATTTTCTCGTATCTGAAAAAAACACTTACCTTGGTGGGATCGAACTCGGGATCTCTGGATCGTGAGCCAACTGCCTTACGTGGTAGACTACTTATTAATTTGATGTAAGTGTTATATATAATGTACATATGGCATAACCAGCGCAAATATATAATTTTTCAAAAATTATCTTAAGAAATAAATTCAGTTTAAAAAGAGTAATAAAATTTTGAATTGGATATATAATATATTTCCAAAAAGGCTTTATATGGGCTATAACTAGGAAATCCTACATTAAGGGGATCTTATTAAAGTCGTCTGTAATACCGACATCTGTTTTGCACAGATATCTTTTTTTTGGCTTTACGGATTTAAAAATCCTTCTCCAAAGTTGATTCTCCACGTGATTTTATATCGAGAATAAAAATAATTTTAGGAACTGCATATAACAATGCGTCAACTTGCAAAAACGCTTTATATAAAAATTCTACAATGTATTGATACCGTTGTCAGAATTAGGTTTAGACTCTAAACAAAAAAGTTATCTGTGAAAAATGCAATATAACCTATAACCTTGTCTATCCTTGTCTATTATCATTGTCTATACAAGGACAGATATATGGAATTTGGTCGGTAATACAGACGGCTTTAGGATCCCCTTAAACTGTCCTGGAACGAAATTCGTGACCAAACTGGGCTCTGTATGTACGTGCTACAACTAGGAAATCCTACATTAAACTGTCTTGGGAGAAAAATCATGACCAAACTGGGCCCTGTATGGGCTACAACTAGGAAATCCTACATTAAATTATCTTGGCAGAAAAATCGTGACCAAACTGGGCCCTGTATGGGCTACAACTAGGAAATCCTACATTAAACTGTCTTGGGAAAAAAATTGTGACCAAACTGGGCCCTGTATGGGCTATAACTAGGAAATCCTACATTAAATTGTCTTAGGAGAAAAATTGTGACCAAACTGGGCCCTGTATGGGCTATAGTTAGACATGCCCAAATTAAAAACAAAAACTAGGTCCTAAATGGGTTTGAGTTTGACAAGCCCTTATTTTGGATGCCTTAGTAAAGCCCATACGGGGCCAGCATTGAATATAGGATGCCCGGATAAATTTCTACTCATTAATAAAAACTAATGTTTGCTCTTTCTCGAGAAAGAGTGCAATTTTTACCGAGTCTTATCGAGTCTAAACTTCTTCAAGATTACAAGGGAAGTAATTGTTCTATATTATACGAAAATATCATCATTTGACTTATTATATGGTAGGACAACAAGATAAAGCGGAGTGTATTTCAGGTTTTAATAAAATAAATTTTCATTTTTCTCTACAAGTATACTTTCGTAAAAATGTGTAATAAATTCTCTACATTTTGTCTTCTAATATTTTATATCGTAAATATCAAATATTGACTAGCCTATTAACACATAAACACACACGCGTGCGCGCATATACACACATAAAAGTAATACTTAATTTAATTCATTCTGTTCTATTTAAACTCGTGAAAACAATTATTGTACATTATTGTACATAATTGTCAAATATTATGTTTATTAAATTTAATTATAACTCTAGATATTTACTGTATTTTATGAAAGTGCTTTTCAATGCATTTTAATTATCAAGAACGTTTTCATAAAGTTTCACGTTATTATAATTAAATCAAGCTTTTGTCTAAAATAGGTAAAAAGTATTGACGTAGTAGTGAATATCGATGAACATTTCTCGAATATATGTATAAACTATACGTATTAAATACTAACCAAGAAAGCTGGACAGCAGGATGTGTCCTGTACAAAATAAACAACAATATAAATAACACGTGTTTACTGTGTTTATTATCTATTACCGACTTAAGCGTCACTACATGCGTTTTGTGTTGAAACGTTAAATTTAATGTAATATATAAAATAAAAAATTATAAGACTACTGTCATTCATGTAATCGATTGAATAGGTAAAATACAATTACGTAGCGAGCTGATTAGTCTTTACCTTTATTATATAACAATAACGTATGCTATTTCAGTCGATTGATAAATATGCAAAAAAGCAGCTCTTTTATTATTTACCTTTGCAATATTTGTCTAAAAATTTTCAATATTTATAGAGTTATTAAAGTTATTTCTGTTGCGTGCCCCATTTTACATATATCACTCTTTTTAAATATTATTTCATGCCACTGCACAGCAATATGTTCAGAAATACTTATAAAAAGTATTAGATATGCGTAGATACATATTTCACGTCTATGCATATCCTCCCTTTTCCCACACACACACGTATACAAACACATTCATACACACACAAAACATTTTACGTACCTATACGTATTTTATTCCGTAGCTGTAAAATTGAAAAGCTATTCACAATCAGGGCTTTAGAACGGCTGTATCCCACAAGAAAATGTTGACTGAGCATAAAAGAAAACTTATTCTGATTTGTTAGATTTGCGTGCATAGTTTAAATATTTTCATGTAAGACACCAATTCGACATAATAAAACTATAAGTAGAGAATTAGAAAATAATATATAATTCTTTCCATTTCTATCCTCGTGAAACTTTGATAAATTGTTTCAGCGTGCAAAAAATTTAACACATCAATAATTTAGCGTTCATTGTTTTAAGAGAATATCAGAAATTAGATTTCTAGTTTCTTTCAATAAATGGATAAATTTATCATTGCTATATTAATATTTCCATTTTATTGATACATGATTAAACAATTTTTAAATAAACGGAGAAAAAAATCACAGGATTAATTTTATTTTAGCAAAATTTTGATTAATGTAGAAAATAATCTTATGCAAAAACGTCTAAAAAAATATAATACTACCTAAGAATTTTTTAACAGCTAGTTAAATAGTGATTGTCTTTAAATATTTGAAAACGTGCAAAATGTTAATGACAATTAATAAAGTAAAATTAATTTGTGAATTCATTGATATTTAGTTACAAGAGATTCTTTAAAACTTAAAAAAAATCAAAAAAATTGTGTCGTGAACAATGCAAACGCGTTCCTTACTTAATAAATGTAATATCTAAAATGTAAAATGAGAAATCGTTTACAATGCGAAGTTGACGTCCGCTTTGGATGTCCATTATAATTATTACGCATTATAACTTCGGGTGTCCATTATAACTACAACCATTATAAACGACGTGCAAGCCGGAGAGAGCTCTATGCAAAATAAACCCGATTTTCTTCGCCAAACTTCGCGCAGAGTAAGCGGCCAAGAACTCACTTCACTTTGCCCTATCATTTGAATTTATCCCCACTATCACTGCATCTGACGCTAGTCCTCACTACTGGTAAGTTACTTTCCTACCTGATCTTTAACTTCAACGTCATTTTCACGGCGAGGACAAACTAGGGATTCAGATTCCAATGCTGTTGCATTTTAAAATACAGATCAATGATAGTATGTAATAATAAGTATACCAAAACACAAATTTTCTAATAATAATTAAAAGTAAAAATTTTTGAATTTGTATTATTATATTAGCGAGTAGTTTATACTTCTTTCATATTATAATTTTAAAATAAAATACTTTGATACACGATATATAAAAAGGTGTAAATAATATATTTTAATATAATGATAAAATAATAAAAGTTTATTATTATTGCTTTCTCTATTTTAATCATCTATGATTTATATTATATATATATATATATATATATATATATATATATATATATATGATTCATAGATGATTTATACACATATATCTTTCTTTTGCTGAAGATGTTTTCAGTGCAATGCAACACTACACTATAGTTTTCTGCATATTTAAAAATACTATGCAATTCTTCTTAATAGCTTCTTGTAAATTATTCTATATTATTGTAAATAAATGATTGATTAATTATGGCTATAATAAATGTGTTTATTTACTACCGTTGCTGCCATCACGTTTAATGCACTGTTCTAGTACATTCTGAAAATTCAAATAATAATTATGATTTATGATTATTATTATTATTATTATTGTCAGTATAATTAAAATATAATTTTGGACTTAATTTCACAACTGCGCATGAAAAATTTTTGATAAAATTTAGCAACTTAATTCTGCTCGAAATTTAAATTCCATGTACTGATTATTTGGACAATGTTCTTTACTATATCCAAAAATAAGAATAATTAAAAAGGTAACACAAAATAAAGAATAATATATCAAGAATGTATAAGTATAAATTTTATTTCTATTTTACCAAATATATAATAGAAATTTAGTGCATAATCCATCTTTTGAAATAAAATAATATAAATAATATTAGAATTAAATTATACTAAAAATATAAT